TGTGGGTCCAGTTTCAGTCTTTTACATGTAGATATCTAGTTCTCCCAGCACCACTTATTAAACAGGGAGTCCTTCCCCCAAGGTATGTTCTTGTTTGGTTTACCAAAGATTAGGTGGTTGTAAGATGTTAGTTTCATTTCCTAGTTTTCTATTTGATTCCAAAGGTCTATGTCTCTATTTTTGTGCCAGTACTATGCTGTTTTGACCACTATGGCTTTGTAGTACAGCCTAAAATCTGGTATGGTGATACCCTAGCTTTGTTTTTATTACTAAGAACTGCCTTAACTACATGGGGGGTTTTTTTTGGTTCCATACAAAACGCAGAATCATTTTTTTCAAATCTTGAAAATACGATATTGGTATTTTAATAGGGATGGCAATGAATAGGCAGATTGCTTTGGGAAGTGTAGACATTTTAACAATGTTGATTCTTCCCAGCCATGGACATGGTATGTTCTTCAATTTGCTAATATCCTCTGCCATTACCTTTCTTAGGATTTTATAATTTTCTTTATAGAGGTCCTTCATCTCCTTTGTTAGGTATATTCCTAGGTATTTCATTTTCTTTGAAGCTATGGTGAAGGGAACTGTGTCCTTAATTAGCTTCTCATCTTGGCTGTTACTGGTGTATACAAAGGCAACCTAATTGTGGACTCTGATTTTTTTTTTTTTTTTTTGCAGTTTTTGGCTGGGGCTGGGTTTGAACCCATTACCTCCAGTATATGGGGCCGGTGCCCTATTCCTTTGAGCCACTTGTGCCACCCTGGACATTGATTTTATATCCTGAGATATTACTGTATTTTTGATGACTTCCAGGAGTCTTGTGGTTTAGTCTTTGGGGTTCTCTAAGTATAAGATCATATCATCAGCAAAAGGGAGAGTTTGAACTCCTCTGCACCCATTTGAATGCCCTTTATTTCCTTGTCTTGCCTAATTGTATTGGCTAGAACTTCCAGCACTATGTTGAATAGTTATGGTGACAGAGGACAGCCTTGTCTGGTTCTAGTTTGGAGAGGAAAAGCTTTCAGTTTTACTACATTCAGTAAAATATTACCCGTGGATTTGTCATAAATAGCTTCAATCAGTTTCAGAAACGTGCCATGTGTGCCTATACTCTTCAGTGTTCTAATTAGAAAAGGATGCTGGAATTTACTGAATGCTTTTTCTGCATCTATTGAGGGGATCATATAGTCTTTGGTTTTACTTCTGTTGATACGGTGAATACCACTTATAGACTTGTGTATATTAAACCAGCCTTGCATCCCTGGGATGAAACATACTTGATCATGATGTATAATTAGTTTGATGATAAGCTTCTATATTCATTAGTGCATCTATATTCATTAGTGAAATTGGTCTGAAATTCTCCTTTTTAGTTGGGTCTTTTCCTGG